GGTCCAAGACGGTGTGCACTTGGTGGCTAGGAGGTAAGAGGCTGAGGAGAGCGTAAGGTTTGGGGACTGTAGGATGGATTGTTTCTACTCTCTTATTTCTCTTAGATCTTGGACAGGACGATAGTCATTAGTGCCCAGCTTTTAGACAGGTAGGAGAGGTGTGTTCCATGGGGAGGACATGGAACCACAATTCCCATTTCCCTCAGCCTCTTTTTGCCTCCATGTTAATAGGGTACTTCTTGACTTGTATAGGCATCGCCTGTGACGTGAGTTGGACCACTATTGGGGCGTGATGATTAGCTGGCCCCGGTGGGTTAGATTCTGCCCACACATGGGGAATCCTTTCTCTGAGTTCAGACAGGTAGGGGGTCGCTGAAGGGTTTTGTTCTGTCATAGACAGAAGACACTCTTCACTTACGGTACAGGTCAATAATAATTTGATAGGGGGTTGACCTTGGGTGTCCAGATAAGTTCCTTCTTCCTGGAAGGAGATGGTGGCTTGTAACTTGTGTAGGAGGTCTCGGCCCAGCAAGGGGTGGGGACAGTCAGGAATCACCAGAAAAGAATGGGTTACAGTCCCTCCTCCTAGGTTAGTAATTCGGCCTTTTGACCAGTGGTAGTCTTGCTGAGTTCCTGTGGCCCCTTGAATAGACAATTTTCCTTTGGATAAGGGGCCCTCTGGTTTTTTAATAACTGAATAGGCCACACAAGTATCACATAAGAATTTGATTTGCCTCCAAGTTGAAGGGTAACCATGAGCTCTTGGTGAGGGGGGTGGGGGCGGCGGTGGCAGGGAGCCCTGGCCCCATCACTCCAGTTGGAGGACCTTTTGGTTCCCTCCTCTTTTAGGGCATTCATTTTTCCAGTGTCCCTTTTCTTTACAATAAGCACATTGGTCCTTTTTGAGCGGGGCTCTAGGAATTTTTGTAAGTTGCTGCTTGGGAGGAGGCCCAGAACTTCTTGAGGACCTGGAAGAGGGGGCTTGCAGAGCTGCCATCATCAGCTTTGAAAGCCTTTTGGCCTATCTTCTGGCGTGTCTCTGTTATTATAGACACATTGTGCTATTTCTACTAATTCTGACAATAACTTCCCTTCAAATCCCTCCTGTGTTTGTAACTTTTTCCTAATGTCCGGGGCCCACTGAGAAACAAAAGCAATATTTATTGTCCTTCTATTCTCTGCCGCCTCTGGGTTTATAGGAGTGTGTGTCCTATATGCCTCCAGGAGGCACTCCAGGAATGCTGCAGGGGACTTGTCTGAGCCTTGTATAACCTCACTCACCTTAGACAAATTGGTGGGTTTCCGGGCTGCAGCCCAGACTCCCAGAAGGAGCGGACGATAGTTGGTGAGAGCCTCCTTACTTGCATAAGAATTCGGATCCCAGTTACGATGAACTAAGGGAAAAACAGTCCCCAGAAGGTCCTGATTCCTGATTGGAGTCCCATCCCAGCCCAGGACATTTTTTCTGGCTTCCCACTGGATGTGGTCTCACTCTTCAGCTGTGAAGAAAGTCTGTGCTAGCTGCTGGCAATCATCCCAGGTAGGCTGGTGAGTGAAAGACACAGTCTCAAGAAGAGAGATTACCCTGGGGCTTGTCAGAAAAAGACGGATTTTGTTGTTTCCAGTTATAGAGATTGGTGGTTGAAAAGGGCACATAAATCATGAAAGGGGCCCCATCTCTGGGAGTTTGTCCTAATGGGGGAATAGGGGCTGAGGGACCAGATGAGGGGCCTGCTGCCGAGGGTCCTGGCTCCGGGGGCTGATATGAAGACCCACTCCTGGTGTGTGGCCGACTCAAGACTTGGCTTGAGTCCTGTGAGTTGGGAGGGTAAGGGGGCGGTGAAAGAAAATCGTCGGCCGGCAAGGCATCCTGTAGGACAGCATTTTTACCTTCCAGACGTCCAGATGATGACGATTTGGGGGCCTGATCGGAAAGGAGACCCTTTGAGTAGCCTGTGCTTCTTTTTATGCACCTTTGTGGCCAGGAAGGCTTTTCAGATGAGACTTCGTTCCAGCTCAGAATGTAGGGAATCTAGTCGGGGTGGCCGGGCCGTCCCATGACGACCCGTTCCACCTGGTAGGCTGTAGGCAAGTCAAAGGTCCCCTCAGCAGGCCACCCCACATCAAATGAAGGCCAATCTAATCCACAGAGTTTTCTTAACTCAGGCATCACAGAGGCCCCAGGTCTGAAGCCTTTTGATGGAATGAAGAAAAGTTAGCATGCATTGCAAGGGGCTGGAGGCAGACGAAGACTGTCCCATGTTGTAGTTCCAATTGTCCTCCTCGACGTCTCGCCACCGCCCAGGATTTGGAAGTAATGCTGTGTCCAGCCTTCCCCTGAATCCCCCTCACCTCTGGAGGGTTTCCTGACCAGCTGACTCTCCTCTGTGAGGATTGATGTCTCCCGGCTCCACTTGTCGCCCGTGAGGGTGAGGAGGTATGTCCTGGGGCTGGGGAACATCTCTCAGCGGCCGCCCCATAGGGCCTCCACCCTGTCCGGCTCCGTGGCGTCCCAAGAGATCAAGACTATCAGCATCTTGGGGTCTTTAAAAGGATCTCGCTGGGGTCTCCCTCTGTTATAAGGTAAAATGAGGCACAACCACCCAAGAAAGACTTTAAGGGAGAGTCTTTATTAGCTAGCTGGCGACTGCCCTGACCAAAAATCTCCTTCAGCTTGAAAGCTAAAATGGCACCTGATTAATAGCTTCTCTTTGGCTAAGTAAATGCCACCTGATTAATGGCTCCTCTGGCTAAGTCATTAACCATTTCACCTCCTGCCTACATGTTGCTGTGTCTCCTGGGTTTCCAGCCTCTGCCCGTTTTTCCATTCATTTCTAACATGGAATCCAGCCTGTTACTGTTGAGACTAAAGTCAACTCTCCATCACCGAGTCAAAGTCCACCATGGCCTTCAATACCAGCTAAGACATGTGCACCTTTTTCCCTTCTTCTGACCCAGCACTCCTGTGTTCACTCTGCTCTGGGCCCCAGGACCTCTGCACTTACTGTTAGCTGTGCCCAAATATTCTTCAGGCTTTCCCGTTTTCCTCATTTCCTTACCGAAATGCCATTCCCAGTAAGGTTTATTTAAAATTGCAGCTACTGGGGAAATCCAGTCTCATCTCTCTGCTGTATTTTTCATACTTTTAAACATGATTTACGGTTTTCTTTTGTTTGTATGTTCACGTTTTTCCCACATGAATTTAAGTTTTATTTTAAAACTGAATTACTACTACATTTTGAGAATCTAGAACCCTCTCTGGGACTCAGTAAGTGTTCAGTACATAAGTGATAAATTCAGAATCAAAATAATTTGCATATGGCTAAAACAAACCTAGAACTTCAGTCCCATTCTGAGGGGGTAACTGCTGTTAACGCTTTTGTGTACCCTTCCAGGCTGTGCTATGTATACATAAGCGTTCATACACAGAATCATTTAGCACAATAAAGGCATCATGCTACACAGATGGTACCACAAAGTGCTTTTCATTTAACATTTCACGGACATCTTTCACATCAGCACGTAAAAGTACCGCTGACCTTTTTGTGTGTGCAGGCTTGGGGATTGAAACCAGGGCTTTGACCATTTGAGCTACCCTCTTCTTCTCCCCCCCCTTTTTTTTTTTGGAGGGAGCAGGATGTCCCTGCTACCTTTGCCTGGGCTGGCTTTGAACATCAGATCTTCCTGCCTCCACACACCTAGTAGCTGGGATTACAGGCACGTACCACCACATCTGGCTTGCTTGGTTTCTTTTTGAGACAAGGTCTTGCTATATTGTCTAGGCTGATCTCCAAGTCTTGTGCTGAGGTGAACCTCTTGCCTTAGCCTCCAGTGCAGCTGTGATGACAGCTGGGCATCACTAACAACCAGTTTTAGGTACTTACTTTTTTATTCTGGCTGTATTGTGTTCCATTATGTTGACAGAGCATGAGTTAGGCTTTCTGAAAGATAGTTAGGCCATTTAATTATTATTATAGCAAACATGTTTGTCCATTTTACTTTTTATACTCAGCATAAATTACTAGAAGATGGCTAAGTCATCAGAAGTTTTAGTAGTCCAAATTGCCCCCAAATACACTCATTGACAGTTCTATCAACAGGTTATGTTTTCCCATTCTGTCATCAACTTTAAATAGTGACTTTTCAGGTTCCCCCTTGCCCCCCAATGCTGTTAGAAATGCTCTGATGGGTGTGAGGACCAAAAAGGTCTGGAGGGAGGGGATGACAGTCTCGGGTGTTAGCGGTGGACAGCATCCAGGATGTCCCTTAAACCAAGGTTCACACCTGCATGCTGCCCGGCTTGACGCCCACCGGAACCGAAGAGCTTCTCCTCCCCTCCGGCTCGGAGCTGTTTTATCCGAAGGTGTGGCTCACTCACTGCCTCCTAGGCCCTGTCTAATTTAGGAAAACAAGTGCCGTCTTGTTTCTGCCCGCAACGGCCTAGGGCAGTAACTATGAGGTCCAAGAGTCAGGGCCAGTCCCGTGCACAGGCCGAGGTGAAGGTTCCCCGCCTCGGGGGTGGGGGGGCCTCCTTCTTCGGCGCCCCAAGCCCCACGTCGCCAGAGCAAGGGGAGAAGGTCCTACTAATTCGCCGCTACGTTGGGCGGTGGGAAACAGGTCAGAAGCCCTTAATCTAAGCTGCCCGGCTGGGACCGCGCTTCAGCTTCAAAAGCATCGCGGCCCAACCACGGACCTCCCAACGCGCTCCGAGCGTGCGCGCATGCGCGAGTCTAGGGGCGTGGCGTGCGCGCGTCGCGGTTGCCTGGATACGGCGACGTCACAATAGCTCGGCTGGAGGCGCGAGCTGCGGGGTGTGGAATGTCGCTGGAGGGGCGGTTGGCCCTCAGTTCCAGAGGAGCCAGAGGAGGAGCCGGTAAGCGTCCCGCTGGCCTCCCGGGCCCGCCCGCCCCGGCCCGAGCCCCGCTGACGGCCTCTCGCTCTCCCTGCTCCCTCTCGCAGCGCACCTGATTCTCGCAGGCGGTCGCGGCGTGCGGACAGAGATGCCGCTTCCCGACACCATGTTCTGCGCGCAGCAGATCCACATTCCCCCGGAGCTCCCGGATATCCTGAAGCAGTTCACCAAGGCGGCCATCCGCACCCAGCCCGCCGACGTGCTGCAGTGGTCCGCGGGGTAAGCGCGCCCCGCGCCGGGGAGATCCTCCCGCCGGACCACCGCACTCCCGCGGCCTTGGCGACATCTGCCCTGCCTGTGTAGAGGCCATTACCGTCTCTTGGCCGTGATACCAGAAGTGACTGCAGAAAATGCTCACTTATCTACAAAGTAATGGCGGTTCGATTGTGGAGGTGGACTAAAGCTTTCAAACCAATTGCATTGGGCGAAAAGTTTCCACCTTGTGTTTAAAAAATCACATTACGCCCACTTTACTTATGAAATTTGCAAAGAAGAATCTTTTAGCGACGTTCCTCGTCCGTTAGGGAATCTCCCAGAGTTAATGTGTGTACTGGTTTGATTTATTAGGATCAGTACTCCTGAGATCAGACTAAAGTAGCCATCCCAAGCTTGCTGTGGGCACTGCTCAGCGGAGTTCGCAGGCGATGGGCCTTCACAGTTCTTTGCAAAAGGCTAACCCTTTCCAGGAACAGGCATTCATAACCCTAACTTAGTTACAAGTCAACAGACCTTGGAAACATGAGTGTAATTTTTTTTTTTTTTTTAGTAGCGGGTTATATTTTGTTAATCAGTTAACCTTTAGCTGTTGTACAAATGACCTCAAAACTTGACGATTTTAGCTGGTGGCTCAGGCCTGTGTAATCGTAGCTACTCAGGAGGCAGAGATCAATCAGAAAGATCTCAGTTCGAAGCCAACCGGGGAAAATAGTGTGAAAGACTGCTGGAGTGGCTCAAGGTGTACACGCTGAGTTCAAACCCCATTTAAGACGGACTGAAAACCATAGGTGTTTATAGTTCTTTAGGCCAGAAGTCCAAAATCAGTTAAAGTGGGTAAAATCAAGGTGCTGGCCAGGCTTTGCCCTTTTTGGTGGCTCTTCTTTACCAGGGCCTAAAGCTGCATTCTGTCTACTCCTTGGCCAATGGTCTCCTCCTCCAGCTTCAAAGCCTACATCTTCAATTCTCCCTCCACCTCCCTGTTCTGAGGACAATTGTGATTGCATGTAGAAGCCATCCAGATCATGCAAGATAATTTTCCCACCTAAAATCTTTAGTCAGTCTGCAAAAACACTGTTACCATGTAACAGGAATTAGGACATGGATATTTTAGGGGTATGTTTAACTGACCAGCAGTGCTACTTGTTCATTCAGTGTCTGCTTTCTGCAAAACACTTTCATCCATTGTTTCTGAAAGATTTCTTCAAGGTAAAAATTACAGTCTCTAGCTTTAACCATTATTTGAGCTTAAATGAAAGATAGTGGGATTTATAAAAGTTTATTTTCATTGTATAAAAAATCCAAAATATCTTTTTTTTTTGGAACATTAAATTTTATTGGTAACACTTTGCAGTTATTTTGAAAGGCGTAATCGTGAACTTTCTGAATGCTCCATGCCACAAACTTTTGAGAAGAGTTTTAGAATCTAGGAGAAAACCCAGGCATGTCCCAGTTTGTACAAGACATCATCTGTTAGAGAAATGTGTGTAAATAAGCTGAGTTCAGAGGACCTTGGCCAGTGTGTAAATGAAGGGTCGTGACAATTGAGCAGAGTATGCCTTGGCCTTGGAAAGATTTGGTAGGCAAAGATTGGGGCAAAAAGCAAACCAGTGAATGTGGAAGAGGAAGCTGATAGGAATGAAGCATCAGGAAGGAAAAACCAACTAAAGACAAATCAAGAAACTGGGATGCATGTCAGAGCTGCCCTGCTGCACTCAGGCTGGCATTACTGTTTCCTCAGGCTAGGGCTCTTTTTGAGTGCAGTCTTTAGGTAACCACATGTCAAAGATGGGACATCTTTCTCCCAGGCTTGTCTGCTCCACTGTGATGTCATTGTGCAAAACTGACTCAAGAATTGGTCAAGGGGTGAAGGCTGCTTTGTCAGTGTCCACCTTCTCTGGACATTTGATGGGGAGGAGGGAAAGTGCATTGTGGGGTGTAGGCCTCCAGGTCTGTTCCCACTAGGTGCCAAGTAGTACCATTCACCTTCTGTTGTGATAACAAAAACTGTCTCTGGAAATCTCCAAACGCCTTGGGTGGGCAGGAGGGAGAAGAAAGTTGCCCCTTGTGAGAACTCTTGCTTCAGAGGCCGCGTGGAGCTTGGTGAGTCCTTTGATCCATTGTGAGGAAGTTTCTGTGAAATGGTGAAACCCTCCTTAGCAACAATAAGGCAAAGCAAGACACCGTCCTTCCACCTTGCCCTTTAGGTCTTCAGGTCCACATCATCTGACCCATGGCTGCCTGCATTTGATTTTTCAAATCATTAGTGAAAATCACACAGGAGCTGAAGTTGTTTAACAAGCATGAAAGCACAGTGGAATTTAAGGGTTGAAAGAGAAAGGGGAAAGACGTGACTTTTCTCTTAGTCTGCACAATACTGATTTACCCCATCTATCTATGTGGATAAATGTTTAGGTTTCTACTTACTCCTGTCTTTTAAAATAGCACCTGTGGCTCTGTGTTTCTCTTCGTTGTGAGTTTCAAAGAAGACCCTGCCTGGCACTTCTCGCCACCACGTGTGACCTATGTGGCCCCCTCTTGTTGCCCCATACTGTTTCTGTGCCCCCTCCCGCCCCCACCATAAGCAGCATTGTCAGTGTTGCAGAAAGGAAATTAAGGGGGGAATTGCAGGCAGGACAAATGGAGGGTGTCAGGGGGAGGGCAGCAGCCACCATTCCCAGTGTGAGAGCTGGATGATCCGTGCATGTCTGATCCTTCCAGGGAATGTGCAGAGATGTTAAAGTTAATCAGCCCGGAAAACAGCAGGGCCAAAGAAGGGAAGACCAAACCCAAACTGTCAAAAGATGACTGTAGCATGACATAGGACCCAGGTCACACCAGGGCCACCACCTCTGTTCACTTTTCAGAAGCTCTGGGAGCCCATGCTTGGTAAGAGTAGCACATGACCAGGGGGCTGCTTCCAGTGCCACCTCAGCGCCCTCTCCCTCACACTCCCAGGAGCCCTCAGTTGGGCCATCATACCCATCTTGCAGACAGGAGCTAAGACATGCAGGGAAAGTTAAATGAGAGCAGAGTGGAGGAACCAGATCGCAAGCCAGGGCCAGAGGGTAGGGGGTAGTTCAGAGGTCTCCCTCCTAAATGAGGTGTTTTCCTGGGGCATCTTAGACACTGCATAACTTGGGGTGCTTCCTGTGTGTTGAGCTTCAGTGATGTCTCTTATTTGCAGGTATTTTTCAGCTCTGTCCAGAGGAGATCCACTTCCTGTAAAGGACAGAATCGAAATGCCTGTGGCCACCCAGAAAACAGACACAGGCCTGACCCAGGGGCTCTTGAAAGTCCTGCACAAGCAGGTAGGATAGCTCTACTCTTGTTTCTTCCGCTGAGCTGTGCCCTGCATGACTTGCTGGTGGATCAGGGTCACCATAACTGCAGGGCAGAGCCACCAGGACCCTATTCTGCAGAGGGCTGTGCACACTCAGTGACTTTCTCCAGCTGAAAGGTCCCAAAGTAGCTCTTCATGAATAGATTTTAGGAAAGTGAAACAATCATTTCTTTTAAATGCAAAATTAAGATAGCAACAGATTCTAACAGACTTAAAAAAAAAAGCATGGACCAAAACCAACAAAAATTCTGAGCATACAAAGTTGCAGGAATGGGGCTTGCGAGGCCCATCCTGAACTGCACATGGTGAGGCGATCCTCTGCCTTTGCAGTCTGCAGCCACAGTGGGCAGTGGCTTCTGGCTTCCTGTCCTCCTGAGAGTGGGGAGCGGTGACCCCTCCCACCTGGCCCTCCAGTGCCTTCTCCCTATGAACAACCTCATGTTTACAGAACTGCATTAATAGATTTGACACCCATCATGATGAGCTCATATTGCTGAAAATGACACCATTGTTATGACCTTGGTTTTAGGAGGGCTTAGTCCCCATTCTGCATTTTGAAGTACTATGCTTGTGTCCAGGGCACACTGAATCCCAAATACAAGACTCCCCCGACCTTGGTGTCTTCAGGCAGACGGATCACCACTGGATGGGGCAGCTTGGGCAGGGCGAAATGCCGTGCAGGGCTTTTTTTTTTTTATACCAAATATCACTAGCATGTCACAGAAGCTGGCCATTTTCAGAGATTGTTTAAAATATCAAAGTGTTGTGAAGTATTTCAGACAGACAATGGGAATCCTCTACCTGCTATATGCTTGTCTTATGGGGTCTTACCATTATACCACATTTACTTCCTTGTCCTTTTCTCTCTCCCTCTTTTTTTTTTTTTGACGTTGGGGGGTGGCACTGGGGTTTGAACTCTGGACCTCACACTTGCTAGGCAGGTGCTCTACCACTTGAAGCACTCCATCAGCCTTGTTTTGTGTTGGATAATTTCAAAATAGGGTCTCTCAAACTATTTGCTTGGGCTGGCTTCGAACCACAATCCTCCTGATCTCTGCCTCCTGAGTAGCTAGGATTACAGAGTGTCACCTGGCCAAAAGTACTGGGCTGTCTCTGCCTGTGTTCCTCTTCCCACCTCCCTCCCCAGGGCCGACCCAATTCAGTGTATGGTGACAGAGTCCGTCTTCCTGCCCCGGGGCTGTCTTTGGTATATGTTTAAGTCTTCACAAGCATCATACAGTTTCACACTTACACAAATTGTGGCATGCTATGTTTTCTGAACAGTGTAGCCACAAGCGATTCATGGATTTGGCAGACCTTGAGCAGAAGTGGAAGAATTTGTGCCTGCCAGTGGAAAAGTTCCGAGCTATCCTGCAGCTGGATCCTTGTGAGGAGAAAATCGAGTGGATCAAATTTTTAGCACTTGGCTGCAGTACCCTGGGTGGGGTATGTACCTGTAAGCCTCTTCTCCACGATTCTTCTAATTACATGCCTTGCTTAAAAAGAGTTTAGCTTTTAGTAATGAAAGGAGACACTTTCATTACCTTAGTAACTTGGTCTTACAAAAATAACTTTTCCCCTAGAGGCCTATGACATTATTTCAGGCTTTTAGTTATTTTTCAATTAAATACTTAGGAACACCTCAATTTAAAAGGTACTAACTGCTAATGAAATACATAGATACTATTTAAATGAATTTAGGCTTTAGAAGTAAGTGCGCTATAAAGATAGGGTTAGGACTGCTTAACCTCTGTCCCCACTTCCCTGAAAATTAGGGGTTTGGAGAAAGTGGGTGCCATCTCCCCTGGATCATTTTGTTTTCACTGACTGGTTCACTTTGCCATGTTTCCTTCACCTCCAGTTCCCTGCCAGTGTCAATTACTTTTCCTCTTTCCTGCTCTCCTTGCCTGTGGAACACTGTGCGGTCATAGCTGTGGTTTCCATCACACCCCATCACCCTCCAGTGTTTACCTTGTGCCTGTCTCATACACAGTCACATCACCAAAAAGGCAGGGGGGTGGGGGAAGGACTTTTTTTTATAATTGCATAAAAAATAGTAGACAATCTGCTTAATGGTTGGGTTTTTTTTTCACAACTTTCAACATTAGTGATTTTTTTTTTTGGTTCTGTTTGCAAGTTAAAAGGTTTGTCATTGTTTAAACAACAAGAATGCCCCATATCCCTATACATAAAGTGCTTCTTCAACTTGTAAGGTTGAAAATTCTGAATAACCCTTTTAGCATTGTTAAAAAAATTTAAAAACTTATATTTTGTAAATATTTTCTTTTCCTACTTTGAACTGTGTAATGGCAGTAAAACGTAGCTGTTTCTTCTGTAGAAATGCTTTTCTTCAGAAAAGCACTTTTCTTTTTATTAATGCCTTGATTCTGTCTGCAAAGCAGACTAGTGCTTAAAAAAAAGGAAGGAAAAATGAAAAAGAAGTTATAAGATGTAAAATTATTGTTTAAATTCCTGTTTTTAATTTTAATTTTTAATTAGCATACATTGATAATACCAGGGGGTTTTCATTGTTATACTTACAGATGTTTATAGTGTACTTGAACAAGTTCGCCTCCTCCATTACATTTCCTGAACATCCCTCCCCCCTTTTTCAGCTGTGCTTGATGTGGGTGTCATTATGCTATCTTCATATGGATTATGTATGTGTGTATATATATATATATATATAAAATATACATACATAAAATTATTTTATACTCACGTTACAATCAATCACTAATGAGTAATGGCACAGTTCTGCTGATGTCATCATACAGTTCAGACAATTTAGGAATGAGACATTGGCGGTCTTCAATTTACTAAGCAGGAGAGCTGGTGAGGGATTGGGCAAGGGAAGGCCCAGGCTGGTGGGGGATGTGGGCAGGCGTCCTGTGGGGACTTCTCCTGGAGTCCCTGTCCTGCTGGAGTTTTGAGTGGCCCTGGGAGCTGAGAAAAGAGCACGGGCCCCTCCACCCTGGGCAGGTACACAGTTTTATTTCACTCCTTCTGTTCAATCTTTGGCCCCCAGAGTTTGTAACTGATTAAATTCATCACCTCGCTTCACAGCCACACTCATCTTTGGTTTCTTGCCTCTAAACTTAGTTGTGAAATTTTGGTCTAGATGAGAAACAGCAGAACAATTCATGTTTTTGGATGCATCTTCTTAATTTCCACTTCCCTAATCATGAAAATTAAGCTGTACATAGCAAACAAAACTGAATCTGTTTGGAAGATAAGGTCCTTTATCCAAATACAGTGTGTGACACTAGATGGAGACATTTCGTTAAGGGAGAGCTCCACCTTCCAAACTGAGTAGACATCAGAAACAACACACATCCTTTTGCCTTCTTCCTAGGTCACTTTGTCCTTAGGGAATAAATTGATGCCCAGAAGCACATGTGGTCACTGTCCCTAACTTAAGCTGCCTTTGGCAGTGGCTTGCTGCCACCTGGGACTCCTTCCTCAGGTGCCAGGGACTCCTGTCTTGGTTGTGGAAAGCTACTGCTACCCCTCTGCTGGACATATGGGCCCTAGACTCAGGGATCAAGTTCAAGTGTGAAAGCTGATCCTTTCCTCTCGGGAACCAGTGAGACACCTACTCTGCTCTGGCCTCACCCCACCCTCAGAGTGAGTGTGAGCTCTCTCAGTGCATGCCACAAGGGTGGCCAGTCTCTTTTGGAGCTGCATGTGGTCCATGCCAGCATGTCTATGTGACTAGGGTAGCCTTCTTCCCATCATTTGGCATCAGAGCATTTGTTTTTATGCTTTTATTTGGGAAATACCTTCCCAAAGGAGGAAATGAAGAAGCGTTGGTGAGAAGCAGTTGGTAACGGATTACTGCCTGCTGATGCTTTTCCAATGGGATGCTGTCTAATTGGTGCCTAGCATGGCCGTGGCTTAGGACAGATAGGCACTCGGCACTCTTAAATTTCTCTTAGGAGTTGTTGTAGTCAAATAATTGAGTTTAAGATTTCTACAAAGACTAGGAGACTACTTAAATTTCTGAGTCACATCTCATTCACCATCCCTTCATTTCTTCATCTCACAAATACTTACTGAAGCACTACTTTGTGCTTGGCCTTGCTGTGGTTTAGATATGGTCTGAGTGTCCCCAAGAGTCCCTGCAGTAAAGGTTTTGTCTCTAAGGTGGACAGGCAGTGATGCATCCTGGCCTCTGGCTGTGGGAGTTGTCTCTGCGTCCATGTCAGCTTCCCATGCATTGGCCGACACTGCCGTCATGGCCCCTACATCCTTTTCCACTCCATGACATGTAGCCTGAGCGGCTGGCTTCCCTCAAGAGCCACAGCCCAGCCCTGGCGGGAAACGCCTGCTGATTTTGGCCTCCCACCTCTCCCTGATGCAACCCCCCAAGCATGTTCTAAGTTAGTAAACCTATGGGGAGAAGCAAGTAAGGCAAGACTGGAGGCAGACCAGGAGGATCACAGTTCAAAGCCAGCTCAGGCAGAGTTCACAAGACCTGGTGGAGTGGCTCAAGTGGTAGAGCACCTGCCTAGCAAGCATGAGGCCCTGAGTTCAAACCCCAGTACTGCCAAAAATAGACAAGTAAATAAGTAATGATAAGAAGAGTCTTAGGCTTTATAAAAATGAAACACTGGGTAGATACCACTGCATTCCCTCAACCACTGGAACCCTGAACACAAGCAAGCCCACCTCGGGAGTGCAAGGTACCATTCGTATTTTTATTTCCATTCTCCCAAAGGTGCCCAGGAAGGTGTGAGGTGTTGCTGTTCTTCAGAGGCAGTTTTGTCACTATGAGCTGTAACCGAGAAACTGAAACATCCCACACAACTGGCACAAACCAAAGGCCCAGGAGCTAGGAGATACCTCCCTGCCATGTCTTCCCCACATCTCCACTCGCATTTCAGATGAGGCAGAAGTACTTGGTTAAGAACAAAGCTCAGCTTTGCTGGTCACCTCTGCCCAGCATGCACTCCACACAGCGATGGACCCAAGGAAAGGGTCCTTTGGCTGATGACCAAGTGACTGTCCTGCCTCCAGTCCTTTGGAATGAAGGCACGTGTTTATGAGCAACGTAGCTCTCGGTACAAAGTGAAGCAAGATGCTTTCTGAGTCCTTTAGGTATAAAAGGCACTGCAGATCTTACTGTCACAAACATTGACATTGGTAATGTCATTACGCCTTTGCAGAGTCTGTGACGATAGAGTGTTTTAATGTTGCTTTCATTAAATACCTCTTCCTTGGAAGCCTGTGTGCACCAGCAACAGCTCTCATCTGCCTGCTGGCCGTGCTGGCCTGGGGTCCCTTCCCCACCTCAGCCTCCCCTAAGCTTCGCAGGCCACTTGTGTCAGATGCAGCAGTAAATTTCAACATGACACATCTTGGAAAAGTTTCACAAAAGGAGCATGGATTGTAAAAGATGTGATTTTATTTTTAGCAAATCCTCTCTCTAAGGCAGTCCTATAAAGAATGACTGCGCCTCCGAGAGGCGTCTGCCTCTCTGCAGTGATACAATTGATTTTGCTAAGCAGAGTGTCATTTGGCCCGCTTAGCTGGACTGACACCAGAACTGTGCCCACCCCTGCGTCACACCCTGCCAGGGCCATGAGTGTGAACAGGGAAGCAGGTTTCCAGAGTGACGTGTCTGATGGTGACAGGGAGATCAGTTCTGCTCAGGCCTCCCTCTTCTCCAGATGTTTGGTCCTGGAATGTGGCAGCATTTCTGTCTCTGTCCCTGCTTCCTGAGACAACCCAGTGGCCATTAGAAGTGGTAGAACATGGTGGTCCCAGATCATGGTCTCAGGAGGCCATCACCTGTCTTCCAGCCCTGGCTGGATTGCCTTGGGCAATGAGTAAGTCTCTCTGGGCTCCATGGTTCCTCTGTGAGCTGCAGATAATGACAGCACCTGTGGTGGTGACTGTAGGTCAAGCTTTAAGACGGAGTCTGGCACGTGACAAGCGCTATCCCAGTGCTGGCTGCTAGCCGAGTTCTCCCCATGTCACTCTGTCCAAGAACCTCATTTCAGTACCTTAGCCTCATCCCTGGCTCTGAGTGCTCAGCCACCCTCATTTACTCCTGCAACAGGCACTACTGAGCCAGAGGGTCTGGGTGTGACTTTCCACAGCATTTTCCCTACATCTGCCACTTTCCCATGGGGACTGAGCTCTGCCCATCCCACCCACTATGGCTGCAGCCCACCCCACCACCACTGTGGCCCACCCCACCATGGCCACCCTCTTCCCACCCCATCATGACCACACTCTTTCCCACCCACCATTGCTGTGCTGTCTGTGGTCTGCAGATGGCCTTAGTGACTATGGAGCAAATAAGGGAATAAATGTTTCTCTGTGTGCCTGTTGGTGAACAATGTCACACTCATCGACCCTGTGGGTTTGCCTCCTCCTCCAGTGCTGAGCACAGCACCCCCAGGCAGATTCCAGTTAGTTGCTCTGATCAGGACAGGGGCCAGAAAGCCAACCTTGGGATACATAGGGGCACGGTCCTTTGGTCCACCTGCAGGATTAAAACACCTGTCCCTCATTGTACACAGGCCAGGGCATCAAAGGCTGCAAGGCGTGTTGTCCTAGTATGGGTGGAGAAAAGGTAACTTGAGCTATATATTTGCTTTTTTGAATGACAGCAATTTATCATTTTGGGGTTTTTTTTCTCCCCTTTAAAAAAATCCATTCTTGTGCTGGTGGAGTGGCTCAAGTGGTAGAGCCCCTGCCTTGCAAGCATGAGGCCCTGAGTACAAACCCCAGTACTGCCAAAAACAAAAACAAAAACTCCCTTTTTCAACAAGGATTAACTGAATCAGTTGGAAGGCCATGAAGTACCTTCTCCGGAACCTCTGACCTCAGGAAAGCTGTGGCCCATCAGCTGACCACCTCAGGGCTTCAGGAGAGGTGGGATGCTCTAGAGGCATCACCGTGCTGGTAGGAGGGCTTCTGAACAGGTCCTCTCAGGCTGCAGATGGAGGGGACAGGGGTGCCAGCAGGATAGGACTGCCATCTTGTTGAGGAGGCTATGCGTGAGCATAGAAGGTGCACAGGTGACAGGGAAGGAAGGCCTGGGGCCTCCTGGAACTGACAGCTGTGGTGCAGTCTGCATGAGTGAGGGTGGAGCCTGGGAAGCAGGGGTATCGGCAGGTGCACAGGCCACTTGGTAGGCACACAGGACAGGCCCTCAGCCCTGCCAGCCCTGTCCTCATGAGGCACCTTCAGTCCCTCAGAACGTCCCTGGGTGTGTCTGTAGGCCTGACAGGGCTGTGCTGGCCTAAGGAGTTCCTAATTAAAGGACATAGGTGTGGCTCCATGGTGGCGTGCTTCCCTGGCATGTGTGAGGCCTGGCTCCATCCCTGGAAGCACAGGAATAAAGTTCATCCTTAAGGATACAAATGCTTTCTCTTGTCTGTGACAGCCATTCCCGTTCCAATAGAAAGCTGTGTATGATTTGACATTTTTCCTGGCCAGTAGCATCCTAATTAAGCCTCTCCTTTTTATTTGGCCTTTGGAATGATATGTCACCTGCCTCTCAATTCAGGTGGAAAGTGCACTTTTGTAGAATTGGCGTAGAACATGCTTGCTGTAATTATTGCTGGTGTTGGCTTTAAATCTCAGTGACTCCAAGAGTGATTGTCCCCCCCCACCCATGGTGTTTCTAGTCACTGAACACTGCCATGAAGCACCTCTGTGAGATCCTCACAGCCGACCCTGAGGGGGGCCCTGCTCGGATTCCCTTCGAGACTTTTTCCTACGTCTACCTGTACTTGACCGGGCTGGACTCAAGCATTTCTTGCTCAGATACGGAATCCTATCTTGCTTCTTTAAAGGAGAATGTGTAAGTAAAACGCTCTCTGGGATACAGGTATGTTGACCTTTGGAGAATTTCCTGTCTCCACGCATTTCTCTTCTGAAAATGTCATGACAACCAAGCCTGCCCTTGGTAGAAGGTAAAGACCCAAGGTGTGCCTCAGCTGAGCTCCTCATGGAAAGAAAGCCATCTCTCATCTGTGGTTCAGACTAGGGCGGAACTTAGGTTCAGTTCCCTCCTTCCTTCCTTCCTTCCTTCCTTCCTTCCTTCCTTCCTTCCTTCCTCCCTCCCTCCTCCCTCCCTCCCTCCCTCCTTCCTTCCTTCCAAGGTTTGAACTCAGGGCCTTGCGTTTGCTTAGGCAGTCGCTCTACCACTTGAGCCCTGGGCGCTTTTGATTCTTTTCAAAATGACCCTTGGATTGGTGTCATCTTTCTCTAGTAAGTGGCCTCATGTGCCGCACCCTGTGACTTCCCCCCAGTGCCTGTGCTCCGCTGATCTATGGGATGCTCAATGATTGTCCTGATCTGAAAGGAAAAGAGCATCCCTTTCAGAAGTTCCTGTTTTCTTTTTTGTTTACTTTTGTTTTGGGACACAGAGTTTTGCTCTCTAGCCATGACTGGCTTTGAACTTACTATGTAGCCCAGGCTGGCCTGAAACTCATGATCCTCCTGTACCAGTCTCCTGAGTGCACCACAATGTCCAGCTTTCCTGATTATTTCTCAAGATTACCCTTGGGAGAGTGATACCACGGCAGTCAGTGGGCGGGTAGTCAGCATCAACCAATATAACAGCTGCCACAGAGGCCAGTGGTGACCTGGAGGACAGTGAGGATAGACACTATACTACAGCAGTGCCCAAGAGATGAAAAGTGTAGGCTGCAGCCTGTCCTGAATGGCTGTAGTGATGGGGGAGCTCCTGGGAAAGGTCTCGTGCAGGTGTGACCACTAGAGAAGTGGCTAAAGATTAAGGAGGGCACTGAATGGCTAAGGGCAGGTGTGGACTTAAACCAGGTACCTTATGTGCTCTCACCATGGAAAACCTCCACCTGCAAGACTCAGGGAAAAGCCTAATAGATCTGGCTGCCCGAGTAACTATGTTCAGGGGCCAGGCACAGCTGTGAGCTGGGCTGGAATCCTGAAGCCTTTGCTCCTTTAATGGGGAGGAAGTGTGCAAAGTGACAAAGTGGCACAGCATGGTAATCAGTGCCAGAGTCTGATCCCAGGCTGCCTGGCTGCTTGCCTCTCCCCTCTCCTCCATCACCAACTTGTTAATTAGGCTTCTTCTTACAGTGGGAGTGATTTCTTCCGTGGTGCTGCATATTTGGTAATTCATTTATTCACCCTGTGATTCATCCATCCATCCATCCACTCATTTGCTCCCTGCTTGGATCTGAAACACTTCGGACCCCTCCATACCTGTGGAAACTGAGGCTGGACAGTTAGAATGACCACTTTCTGTCACCAGAAGGACCCTGGTGTGGTGTGTTCTTGGTAACTTCGTCCTCAAGCCATTGGTAGTCCCTAAGGGGAAGAATAATGACATAGGACTGAGCTTTTCACCCAGAAACAAATGTACAAAAAAAAAAGAAGGCTGGAGAAGTGGCTCAAGTGGTAGAGCCCCTGCCTAGCAAGCATGAGGCCCACAAAAAAAAAATGTTTTACTTTTGGTGGTAGGAGTTAGTGGGGAGAGACCACAAGTGACCAGTTTGAAGGTAACCTTTAAAGCTGTATAGCATTTTGTAAAAATTGTACTAAGTGTGCTGTGAGAAGTTACTAATCGTGTCTCCATCTGTTTCCAATTCAGAGAATCTAGAAAGAATGGCATGATAGGAGTTTCGGATTTCTTCACTCCAAAGAGGAAAATTTAGAAAACTTTGAAGAGAAATCTCTGAAGAGATAGACCGTTAATACAGAGGAAAACACATTTTAATGTCAAAATAGTGCTTTTGAAAACTTTGGCACCAAATACAATTTGTCATTATGACTTCCATGTGTGGTGTGGGTTTTCCCTCAGTGAAAACTTAAGTGGTGATGCTTCATGGGCTGATTTACAGTAAGAAGCCCGTAACAAAGAGATGATTGGTGTTAGTAGGATAAGCTACTGGAGATTGCGGTTTGCTTTTCCTCCCCACCAAGCTTGGTGACTTCCAGGACAGGCACATGGATGGCTGGAAACCTGTGGAATAAGCTGTAGGGAGCTGTGAATAGAAATAAGCATCCAAGATCTTTTACTTCCTCTCTTTTCCTAAAGTCTTCCAAATGACTGTACCATGGAATAAATCTTAGATTATTTTTCTGAGAACTTGGAAATGACCTAGTCATTGGCTCTGCAGATTGGGCACCATGCTAATACATGTTACCAGTGCCCAAAGCATTGCAAACCCCCAGGTGCTGCGAAATATTTTGTGATTACCCAAACAAGTGTTTCCTCCTTTGCACTGAGGAATATGGAATATGCTTTTCATCTAGATGCTAAGCTTCCTTATTTGGCCCTTTGATCCCCTTCCAGAGAAGGGACAATATGTCATTGTACGATTCATACAATGACAACTAACTTTCCAGAGCAGGAATTTTTAAAATTTTACAATTTTTCAATTTCTATCAAAACTTTACTTTGCCAAAGATGTTAAACAGGCTGGAGGTAGAGCATCGACCTAGTAATCCCAAAGCCCAGTCCCAGTCTCACTGAAAAAAAAAAAAAAGCATTTCCCTTTTTTTTCTCAGACACCTGAGATTTTGTAGCTGTGAGTCACATGGAGTGAGCGACCATGCGCAGGGGAAATGGCTGCAGAAAATGGGACTTTCCAAAGAACTGGAAGCATAGACCCTACATGTGCTGCCTGCCACAGGGGTCCTTCCAGGAAAGGTTACACTGTTAGGTGATCATACTGGGAACGTAAGCTCTCAAAATTAGCCAAGGGTCTGTTTAAGGAAGGTAAGCATGAAAAAAGCACAGGGAAACCCCTCACTTTGTGCAATTAATATGTGCTAATAAAAATAGAAGTTAAAAAAGATTAAAATAAGAATGGAAATACAGAGATGGAAAGTAAGAGAAGACTGACGCTTAGAAATCTAATAAGAAAACCCTCAGCAAGTCACAATAAACTGGAAAAGGTAGATAAGTACAGAAAACAAGGGTTAGAGGAGTATACATCAGCAGTTCTACGTGAAATGTGCACATTTTTAAAAATAGAACTTACCGAGAACTGACTCAAGAAATAGCTGAGTAATTGTTGGAGAATCTTGCTGCTGATTATAAGAACACTGAAGCAGTCCTTAAACTGTCACACAAAAGCAAGTCTTGTCAAATGTGAAATGAACACGCCACCTTTTTGGTGAGCTCTTTCATATGAAGGAAAAAAAGGCATTTCTATTCACTCTGCAAAACCTGTGCTCTCAAAACCAGATAAAGATTTTGGGGTGGGAAAATTACAGACCTACTTCACGCAGGAGTATAGATGCAAATACTAGCAAAAAACTTAAAAATAATCATAAGATAAAATGTCTGGTGAAGGCTAGCAGCTGATCTTGGCTTTGATTGGCAAAGCCTTTCCTGCATCTGTCCCTGCTGTCCTCACTGGGTATTCTTTGGGATCTCTCTTGATGGCTTTACTCTGGATCCTTTCCTTGTAATTGTCACTGTCCTCTGGCTTCCCCCCTCTCCACTTTGGGACATCCCCCCACCCCTTATTCCCGAGGTGAGCTGCTCTTCTAGCCTTGCTCTCTGCAGAAGCCCAGTCTGGGTGGCACACGAAACATCCATGCCCAGGCCTGCTCTGTGCTGGGGTCCACACTGCCACTGACCCCTCAGCTTCTGGGCTGGGCACAGTCTCCTTGGCCCAGGCTGTGCACCGCCAGGTGATCTCATGACCTGAGGGCAATGAGCTCTGTCCTCTGGGCCTCCAGGACAGGTTTAAGTCACTTTCTAGATTGCATTTCCACACTGACCTAGGCTAGGATGCACTCTCCTAGTTAGCACTGTCCCCGTTGCCTAACTGTGCTCCTGGCACTTGGGCCACGAGCACCTTGACCTGGAAGTCTTGGAGATCCAGTGCTCACGGTGATCCCTCCAATCGACTTGTCCTTCAGCCACGATGCAAGATGGGCCACCTCGATTTCTGCCACCCCAGTGTCTAACCCAACACCTGCCCAGCCCTGGCCTGGAGAACTACATAGTCAGATGGGCCTGCCCCAGCATTTCCACCTCCCTGACAGAGGATCAGGCCATTTGTTGGGAGTTTAGCAATCTTGACTTGGGAGTGTAGCTATGAGAACTGAGATTTGTCTACTCATGTCCCAGAGAGAAATCTACCCACTGTGTGACAGGGAGAGACGAAGGCCCATATGGTTGCATGAATAGCACAGGGCTTTGTCCTCGCCCTGTCTCTAGGGATATAACTGCCAAGGCTTGTTCACCCAGATTGGACCATGAGCCAGGGCTGCAAGAAGGCCGAGGCCCTGCGTGTCAGAAATGTAGAGCGTGATTCAGAATGACTTCCAGGAGGAAAGATCCAGAGGCTAAAATAAGCCTAAGGTGAGTTTTATGGGAGTGAATGTAAACCAAACAGTGTGTTTGAAACTGAGTCTCATTGCTTAGGGAACCTGAGAGCAATTTGTCTTTAAAAAAAATTAAGAGTTGAATGTGGTGGTGTACACCTGCCATTCCAGCACTCAGAAGGCTCAAGCAGGAACATCATGAGTACAAAGCCATCCTGGTCTAAATATTGAGATCCTGTCTTAAAAAAGGAAGAAAGTGGAGGGAGGGAGGAAAGAAAGAGAAAAAGAAAAAGAAAAAGAGAGAAAGAAAAAGAGAAAGAAAGTGAACCCACCTTTAAGCCATTATCTCAGGAGAGTCAGGGGGCCACTGAGGATTTTCCTGCCCAGTGACCTTCCTGGAACTTCTCCATCCACCTCCTATAGCTACCATCAGTGGACTCCAGCTCTCTCTCTGGGGACCCCCTTCTCAGGGTTTCTTCCTGAATAATAAACCCTGTGTTGGCATTGATAGTCTTCCTGACTATCTATTCTGTGCCTCTTTCATTCTAAGAGCACCTGTAAGTGAAGGAGCTTAGTGGGATGTCAGTAGGTCATTGGGGACTGCTCTGGGAAGGACTTAAGTAGTCCCTCTGAGACCCTAAGGTATTTCCCGTGAGACTGAGGAGTTATAAGCATGAGCCTGGCCCCTGAATGCCCTTTGGCTTCCTACCTAGTGATCTGGTCTTCCCTCTCACCCACTATCAGAGCCAAGTTAGTGCTAGCACCACGCCCCTAAACCTCCAGAACCATAATAAACACGCCTCTTCATAAGTTACTCAGCTTCAGGTATTTTGCTATAACTCCATCAAATGGACTAACACATGTAGGTTTGAAAAATATCTGATTTCCAAAAAAAGAGTACAGAAAGTAAAGGCAGGTGTAGTGACTCATGCCTATAAATCCCAACTACTCAGGAGGTAGAGATCGGGAGGACTGGAGTTGGAAGCCAGGCAAAAAGTTGGGTGCGATGGCATGTGCCTGTGTTTCCAGCTGTATGGGAGGCTGTAAGAGGATCATGATCTGAGGCCAGCCTGGGGCAAAACCACAAGACCCTACATGAAAAATAACTACAAAAGCAAATAAGGGCTGATGGTATGACTCAAGCTTCAGCTCCTGAATTCAAGACCCAGTACACAAATGAAAGAAAAACAATATCCCTTAATTGCAGCGGGCCTAAGAAGGTGGGAATGGAAAAGCCAGAAGGTGCAAATCAGCTGATGGAGACTTTGCTTTTATGGTCTATCCATTGACATACACACACGAAGTCCCGTGACTCTCTTAGTTTGAACCTAACCCTATTTACTATTTTCATCTCTAAAGAGAATGGGATGGTTTTTTGTCTTTGTTTTGCTTTTTCCTACTGGTGTTTGTGGTGTGTAAGAAAAAGGCAGAGGCAGGCTAACTCTGGAAATCAGTGCTCACAGGGCAAGATGGAGCTCCAAGGTGGATTGCTCTTAAAGTGACCGAACTGCAAGTCTCTCACTGTTGATTAGCTGTTGATTCTTGCCAGTTGCTCCCATACTTGTGAATTTTTGTAATGTGAGAAAACCTAACACAAATGATTTTCAAATGTGTTGAGAATTTTATGAACACTCAATTCAACCAGTAATGAAGAATGAATATTTAAATTAATCATTTATTGAGAATTTTGCTCCTTCCATAATTTGCAGCCGATAATTTTTAAAGTCTTAAACATTTTTGAAGGTTCTCCAAAACTGAGGCTTTCTGCCTTGGCATCTAAAGAGTGAGACGGTTCTGAACTTCCCCTCTAGGAAATTCCCAGGTTCTCTATGTGGAAGTGAACCATTCCCAGATCCACATGAGGTGAGCTGCAGAAAGTCAAAGCTAGGAGCATCCGGGTCCTCCTGCCCGGTGAGGGGCTTATCACCCCCACCTCCCACTCCTATCATCTCATCTCTGTCTACATCAGCCAGCATTCCACTGCCTCCTGTTCTTTCCCTGTGACCCTGTGCATAAAATTAATGGAACAGGTGCTGACCGTCACTTGCAGTCTTCTTTGGGATGTTCAGGTACTTCCCAGAGGTGGTTTTGCATGTCCCACAAGGAGGGAGCCTGGTCCCTGTACTTTCCTGGGCTAAGTTGGAGCCAGTTGACCCCCAACAGAGAAGGACTTCCATCTGGCTCATGTCCCAGTGAGCCACCACCCCAAACTCCAACCCCATGCTTGGATCTAGGATCTAACATGGGGGGAGTTATCGGGGTACATGGCTGGAGTGGACAGACAGTGGACATAAAGTGCTCAGGAAAGTACTCTCTGATAAGGCCCAAGGGGGCTGAAAGACATCAGGATTGGAATAACATTTGGGCTTAA